CAATGCTTATTAAGTCATTCGTATTTCTTGCAGATATAAAGGGTCAGAAGGTTTCAATGCTATAATGGCAGAAACTTGTGAAGGGTAAAGACTGTCATCAAGTTCGTGGTCTTGGTATGTTTACTGAGCAGATCCTTCAATCACATTGCTGGCAATCTGTGGATTAGTAACTCCTAGACTTCTTCCATATGTTGGAAGTACTATCCTCATCAAAAGTTAATTATATGAATAAACTAATGATTCAAAACCTTAAACATTTAGATTTGTAAATTATTCTCTTATATATTGTTCAATTTATGTATTTTTATTAAAATGTACAAATTATATGCAACTTTACTTCACCATTTTCATTTTTCTGGCAGTACAGTAAATTCTTCGTTTCAGCTTTAAACTCTTCACAAACAATATATTGAAATGGTAATTCTTATTTAGCTTAGGGCCTTTGTCTTGGAAACACCAGGCTTAGACACTACTTATACAATAACAACACACAGCAAAATCAGCAGTGTCCTACTAGAATTTGAAATGTCATGTCTTACTATAAAGTGTACGTGATGAGACCCTAGCTGGCACGATAGACAACACAACACATACAAGAAGGACTAAGAAGTACTAACTTGTGTTTGAAGTGGTATTGTGTTCATTTAGCTTTGCACGTTTGTCTAAGAAGCAGCAACTGGCATAGGAAACGGCACATACAAGAAGGACACACCACAAGTCAAAATCTGAAGTGTCCCACTAGGCTTTGATCAAGTGTATTTATTCATGACCTTTTATGTCTGTGCTTCATAGAATTCGGAGCTAAATACAATATCCAGTATATATGTACTCCTTTTTCAGCCTTTATCAAGCATTTGTCTCCAGGAAACCGTTCTTGCAATAGTGTTAGAAAAGCAAATGTTCTGTCAGTTATGCAGTTGAAAATTGAACACCAGAAACCGTCATTCCTTTCTTCTACCACAAAATCTGAACGCAGCCCTTTTTAGGGTGAACATTTATCACTTCTCTGGGTAAATACAACCAGCAAGGACGACAAAAAGATTCTCCTGTTTCAGAAATTTAAGCCTTTTTTATTTTTTTCAAAAGTTGGTGGGGTTACTCATGCCAGATACAGCTGGAGGAACAAAATTTCGGATATCCAAATCACTGCTCGAATTTTCAAGGTTTCACTACCATTACTTTTACTTGATAAGTGTCTGAGATCACAAAAAAATTGCCATATTGATTAGACGAGGTTAACCGTTCATACTCTGTTGTAAAACTTATTCATAGATGGCCAGTCAATACAAATTGATGCCATGATTTTTTTGTCACCCACAGCCACTGAATCAATCAAGTTGTTTATCCATTTCTCAATACTTTCATGTGGATGATGTTGAAATCCACTTCAAATAAAACAACTTTGGTTATTTGTTTGTTCAATTTGTGCTAGAAAGGTATGTTCATGAGTACCTGTATCACATGACAAAAGAAAGATTAATGCCCTTGAAAAACTACTTTAGCATACTATTATCCTACTGTGCAGTGCAGGTAAGGTACCGTGTCAGGAGTGGAATCTGCCCATGCATGTGATCTTTACAAAGACAGCAAAATGGTTCTAAAGAAACCTTTAAACTTGTACCATGTAGACTTGGGATTCAGTTGTGTAATCTGAAACATGTGTAGCATATACATGCATCGTAAAGAACATACATATAACATTCCAAAGCAAGATGTGAAAATATGCAAATCCTATCAGGCTTTGTTGAAGGTTTTTGAAGTGGAAAATTTCGCAAGTCTCTGCAACAAAGACTTCGTAATATTAGCATATGATTTCAGTTAGTCTGTTAGTCAACTTCTCCATACTAGTCCCCAGAACCACATTAAACTGGATTAAGAATTATACAATTGATGATGATGTATGTGAGCATCGATACACTGCATAAAGGATAGCAAATGTTTTAGATTAAAATAGACAAGTTTATATACTTTTTTATATAATTCATTTCCATGTAGATTTCTATATGTTGTTACTTAGATCATAGGGTTGATTAAACTTTACGACGTATCTTTTTAAGTGTTATTGATTCTGCCTGTTAGATTATAGGGCTGGAAAAACTTTATCATCCATCTCTCTAAGTTCTTGTTTTTATTAATTTTATTGTTAATAAGGAAATAAAGAGTAACATTTGAACGTATTTATTATGTTTGTTTCAATCAATTTACATCTGGAGTCCGCATTTATCAAATTGTCCATGAAATTGAGAAGATTTGAACAGGAAATTATCGTGAAATGTTAAAATTATTATTTTATTATTATTATTATAAATAAAAATTATCCATAATAAATTATGGAAGGATTTATATTAGATTACGTGAAGATGCATAATTGATTATGCAATTCTGTGTAATCAACTAAATATAGAACTATTTATCTTTAATTTTAATAAAATTATTTTTTATTTCTCATTATTTTACTAATTCTATTTTAGAATAATATGATGTAAAAAATTGTTTTTATAATATAAAAACATTCTTTAAATACATAATAAAAAAAATAGTTATAATATATATGGTTAAAATATCTATTAATAATTGGATAAAGTACGTGAAATCAATATTTTAATTATACAATTTTTATTTTTAAAAATATATAAGAAATTGATATTTTTAATTAATAAAATTTATATTATTTTATTAACTTTTAAAATAATGTTAAAACATATAAATTTACATTGTATTTTTTTAAAAATGTTTACAATTTAATAGTATTTATAAATTATTATAAAAAATTATAAAATATAAAAAAATAATTAAAGACAAAATAATTTTAATTTTAATTTATTTTTATATATTTTGTTAAATAATTATATTATATTAAATCATAGATTGAAATTTACATTTATTTATAATAAATTTACATTAAGGCTATGTTTGTCATTTATTAATTTAATTTATTATTTAAAATTTTTTAATTACTCAAATTAATTACTATCTTTTCATTATTTTTCTTTCCATCTAAATAATTCCACTTTCTATTTTTTTTTCATATTATACTGAAAGGAAAATTACTTAAAAAATTTATCTTATATTTAAGTCAATAAATTAATAAGTAATGAGATCAAATTTGTTATGTTTAAGAAAAAAAAACCAAACTTTTTATAAAATAACATCTAACTATAATTAACTAAAAATTATAAAATATTTTATTTTTATTTTATACATCTATTATTTAAGATAATATCAAAATCTAGTTATATCTAATTAAAAATTATAAAATATTTTATTTTTATTTTATCAAGCATATTTATATTATTTTAAATAATGTTGAGCAATTCCATCAATAATTAATATTATATTTCATCATTTTTAGGTAATATATTATGAATCTTATTTTTTTTAATATTATTCACAAAATTCTCAACAAAATAAATAAATAAATATTTTTTTTCAAATTAATCAACATGTTAGTTTTGTTTGTAATGTTAATTTGCTTATACATTTTGAAATACTAATTATATTTACAATTTAATTTTGTATTTCTTTTCTGAAATAAAATATTTGAACACTATCATCGATAAAATATATTCCATATTAAAACTTATATGCATTTTTTTTATAATTTAAGTTTTTATTTGTGTTCTTATGTTGTTAAAATAACATCATAAATCTACTGATGATACTTCACATGTTAAGTTTAAAAATTCTTTCATTATATATTGATATTAGTAAATACAACACATAAAAAATTAACAATTAACATAAAAATACTCTTTAATCATATAAGACATAATTTAAAGAATATAAAATGCACTTATCAGTTAAAACTTAATTTCAACTAGTAAAAAACATTGGAGTTAATATATTTTGTTCAGGAAATGAATTTTCTCAAATTAATTTTTCACGTGATCATATCACATGAAAATTGTATCTATCGAAATAAACAATTTTCACATAATATAATTATGAAAAACAATGTCAGATAATCTTTTCCTGATTTGCCACTCTATTCTTGTACCTTCCAATTATTCTGGTGTTTAATGTTTACTTATAGACAATAATATGATCTTTATTTTTACCAACATTACAATTATACCTGCACATGTCAATAAATCAACATAGCTTTGAAAAAAAAAGTGATATAATATTTGAGTTGAAAATGAAATGGAATGTTGGTTTCCAAAAATTTGAACAGTTTTTAATGTTAACATCATCTTCCACGAAGGTTCCTCTCTCACTTCATACATTCAGATGACTGTTGCTTCAAACTTTATTATTAATTTGATAAATAAAAAATTATAATAAGAATAGTTTTCAAGTAAAATAACCCAGCAATATATGTTCAGTTTAATCTCTTGAACTTAACTGCATTCATTTTATTATAAACTAAAAGATCAAATTAGATCATTTAAGTTTTGAGGTTGACAGCTAAAATTTAGATAAAATATTATTAGTAATATTTTTAATAAAAAAATAAAATTTTATCTGTAAATCGTGTAATATTCTTTTTGCATAAAATCGTTTTAAAATAGTTTTATTTTTTAATTTGACCATAAAAATCTTTATTCTAGGACTAAGTTTGCACTCCTTTAGTTTCCATTCATTAAATAAATCAAGAACCAAGTCACAAGGCACCTTATCTGAAAATCATTTGATGTGCAATACATGGACTATATTAAAAAGAAATGTGAACGAAGAAAAAAAATATTAATAATAATCAAATCACAGGAATGTGGACTCAGGGTCTACAAAATCTTAAGTTTCTATGCTCACGCGGTTCACCTCACGTGACAACCGACAAACACTAAGTCCAACCAACTTCAAAATTGGGACTTTCATTACATCACTCAATGGAAAAAAAAAATCATCAACTATCTTATTTTTTATAAAACTAAATTAAATTTTCCATTTTCTACAAACTAAATTATTACTGAGATCTTGAATCAAAGTCTAGTTTTTTTATCCTGATCAAACATGAAATATATGCTGAAACAAGAGAAATTGGTGGTATAAGGCTTAAGATGAGCAGTGTAGATTCTGGTGGAGCCGGAGTGCAAGTGGTTAAACAAGTAGATCCACCGACTTATGCAAGTAATGTTTGTGCGGGTGGTTTAATCGTAACCATGAGCAACCAAGCAGCCACATGAGATGCCAAAAGATAAGAATCTTTGGGACAAATATTCATTTGTCGCCTATGAATATGAAAGGCTTTGAATAATGTGAGCCATAACTTAGTGTTTGATGAGATGAGATCAGAAAGAGAGACAGATAACAAAGGGCATCCTTAACCATGTGTATTCAGGATTGAATATCTGGACATTGGCTGTTGCCTACTGTTTCTCAATACTTTTTGATCAAATTGGATAACATCACTACAATTTCCATGATGCTTGTGCAAGGGTTCTGCAGGGCTTAGCCAGATTGGCCAACTGTGTGACCATGACCCCACCAACCCATATGACCACCCCTTGTATCTCAGCTCACCCTTCCCTTGGCTTTTTTCCTATATAAACTTGTATATCCATAAGTTTGGGAAAATAGAAGATAAACAAAGAAAGAGAGAGAAACACAAAAGAAATTAGGATTATAAATCTTGTATAGGGAACTGTTTTGGTTGTCAATTAGATCACACAGATATGGAGGTTGCAGTTGAACTTGAAGATGATCTATTTTTTGCAGATTTGAGCAAGGAAATTGCTCTCCTAATCATGGATGAAGATGAAGACCCTCTTGCTTCTTGTCCTCCTGACTCTCTTCAGGTTCTTTTACCATTTTCATCACTACAAAGTTCAAACACATGCACGACACATATTTTACCCCTTTCTTCTTCTTCTTCTTCGAATTATAGCACTTTGGGAAGAACTTTTTTTGTGTGTTACAATGATCTTAACATGGATAAACTAAATTTCAGGCTTTTTCTGAGGCAATTCATCCTCCTCCACAGTTTGCTTTTCTCTATGAGCATGCTTGGAGGAGAGAAAGCAAAGGAACCGGTGTGTTTATCCCCCAGGCAACACAGCCAAGAAGGAAGCAGAGGAAAGGAAGGGCTAGTTCATACGCAAAACATCAAAAGCAGTCTCAAGACACCAGAATGGTTTCTCAAGTTCCTAACAAGAATTCTTTCAAAACCAGAAATGGATAAGGATCTCTGCAAATCAGCATAATCTTACAAATTCTACTGATTAATTTCGTTGCTAAGTTTTAATAATTTGTGGATCTAATTCTTTATCCTTTAGGCAATAATGATATGGTTACTTAATTTGTATTGTTTATATATATATATAGGTAAATGTACATGGGAAAACCATATATACCGAAATATTAAGCATGGTATAGGAAGGTTCACCCAAGGTTTTGTTGCCTTCCTCTGCAGACAAGCATTTCATTGTTATCTTGTTTCTTGTGATAAGTTTGTCATGGTTTCAAAAATATTAGTGTGACTATTTTCATCTTAGTTTTCCTTCTGTTTTCCTTTCCACTCAATATACTGCAAGTTATCCTTTGATTTTGAATCTATATATATACCTAATTACTTAATATCTCTGGTTCACATGCTTTGGAAATGGAAAAGAAAAAGAAATAAAGGTGAATAAAGAGAGGGAAGTATAAATTGTTTCCATATCAGATTGAAAACATACGTTTAACATTATATATTTACAAAAGCATGTTTGGATGAAGAAAACTTCTTTTAAATTGAGAACATGCAATTTGGATATGGATTTGCAGACTTTTGATAGTGAATAGTGAAGGTAAAGCTTGGAACCATTTCTTTCCAGGAAGACAACCAAAAAGAAAAAGTCAGAAAAATTAATATAGTTTTCACTTTATCGTTAAGTAGATCCTGTGAGAAGCGTTGGAAAAGAAAAGTGTTGTCTATGATTGCAAGCATAAGCTTTGGGAATTGCTTATAATAATGAAACTGTGAATCAATTATTCTCCACCTTCCTCGCAAGATCTCTGTCGTCCTCTCCCATTCGCTTCTCTTTACAAGTTACAAGAAATTTCCTTTTTCAATTTTTACTCTTCCTCTTACCCACATTCTCAACAAAAATTGTCTTTAGTCACAACTTTTCTTTTCTTTATTACAAAAATTAAAATTTAAAATTCAAGAAAATAAATCATTTTTCTAATTAATATCTCATCATCGTAAGTTTTATATAATTTAATAGTCTAAAGATAATTCATATTTTTTTTAATTTACTAAAACTCGTCTTAAAAACAAAATTAGTAAAATCAACAATATTTTAAGTATAATAATGAATCTTAATAATATTATTTAAAAATAAAATAAATGTTTTAATTTTTAGACGAACTATATTATTATAATATTTAAAAATTATTTTTAAGATAATCTGGATTAATTTTTAAAATATACTTAGAACTGTTTTAAATTAATAAAAACTAATGAGAATTTTTAATATATATGTCTCACGTCAATAATTAAACACGTCATTCATTTTCTTGGGCATAAATAATTGAGGGACACGTTGATAGGGTTTCTCACAACATGAAGAGACAAGTCAGCAATGTTAGTACTACCAAAGGGGTAGGGATGCTTCCTACATTTTCTACGAAATTTACCAAAACTTTCCCTCATCTTACATTTAACAACAAAATATTACTCTTTATTTATAATTCATTTAAAAAAAATCATATTCACCATATTTTAACTTAAAATTAGTTGTGTTTTTATAATTTAATAATTTTAAGTAAAGCTTACTAAATTTTATATTCTCTTAAGATAAATACTTACATGTATATCCGCTTAAAATAAAATAATTCATTCAATTTTGTTTCTCACCTCCTATTTATTTTATTTTTCTCTTAACTTTTTCTCTCTTATAATTTCTCAAAATTATTTTTTTTTAAATTATAATTCAAAATAAAATATTTTAAAATACATTCATTAATTTATTTTAAATAATAATATAACTTATTTTGTATCTAAATAAATTTTAATTAAAATCATTCTTTATATATTTAAAATGTTTTAAAATATTTTAAAAATTATAAATAATTTATTTAAATAATTAAATAATAAATATAATATAATTGAATATTTTTAATAAATAATTAATTACTCATTTTTTTTATATACAAGTTTATGTAATCAACTATTTTTCATATCAATTAATATATCACTGGATCTATGTTTATATTATTTATAATTTTAAAATATTTATCCTAGTTTAAAATAACTTAAATACAAAATACGTATTTTATTTATATTTTTACTAAATTATATTAATATTTAAAATAATTATAAAATATATTTTAAATTATTTAAAATATATTTTTTCAAAAAATTATTTAGTTTTTTTTTGGATAATTTAGAAGTATATAAAGAGAGAGAAATAAAATGTAAGTAAAAATAATAATAATAATAATAATAATAATAATAATAATAATAATAATAATAATAATAAATGAGAAATAAAAAATTAGAGAAAAAAATATTATAACCATCTAATTTTAAATAATCATATACAAATATGATATGTATATTAGAATTTCGGTAATATGCATAATGTTGACATTCCTTCTTCTTGTACATAAGAATAAAAATACTCTCTTTATTTACTTATTTGTAACTTGTGTAACAATCTCACTTTCAACTTGTTTAATTTAGTTTTATTATTTAATTTATAATAAAGACTTATTTTACAAATAAGTTAAGAAAATAAATTATTTAATACTCAAATTTAAAATTATTCTATAACAACACATAAATTAAAAAACGATTTTAATAAGTTAATGATTATACAAATAAACTATAAACTTTGAATTACAATTATTAGTAAAATTGTTTACTATTAATGATAATAAAAATAAAAAATATATTTAATGTTATTTTTTTATTTTTTGAAATAATTTTTAAATATTAATTTAAAAATATAAGTTGAATTGTTTTTTTAATTTCAAGTTAAAAATTATTTTAAATGAAAAAAATAACATCAATAATAACGAAAATTTAGAACAATAATTAAAAGATAATTTCAATAATTTCTTAATAATAAAATGATGATGTAGTTCAATTTATTCAAAAAAAGTAATAATTTTTTAAAATTAATAAAATAAATTATTTTAAAAAATAATAAACAATGATATCATGCTCTGAGTGAAATATTTTTATTATTATTCATAGTCTTAAAATATTTTTTTAACCTTACTAGAACTTTAAGATAGTAAGATAAATTTGAGTAGAACATGAACTTGGACCACTTTAAGAAAGGCCCGGTATGAGCCCGAGACAATTGGAATGATATGTGTATTCCATTCGGGTCAGTGACGAGCCTCTGAAAATTTTGTGATGGCATCTGCAATGGTGAATCGAGGTGGTTGTCGGATCATGAAATCAGTGTCTGCAGCTCTTGGTACGAGGTTTTACGCCAAGATTGCAACTGGGACTGACATAGTCTCTGCCGCACCCAGTGTTTCTCTCCAGAAAGCTCGTACTTGGGACGAGGGTCTTGCTTCCAAATTCTCCACCACTCCTCTCAGAGACATCTTCAAGGTCCCTCGTTTTCTTTTCTATTTTCTTATGCCATTCCATTTTCAACCCCCTTTTTTACTCTATTGCTAATGTCTTATTTTTTTCCTTGATGTTTCAGGACAAGAAAGTTGTCATCTTTGGGCTCCCAGTAAGTTAACTTGCAATTTTTCTGACAAGTTTACGGGTCTCCAGGTGTCACTTTGGTGTTTGTTGGTTTTGTTTTGCAGAATTTGTTATTGTTTTATGTGGATGAATGAACGCTTCCTTTGTTTCTAGGAAACGGAATTGTTTGAAAGAAGTGTGATATTTGACAGAGCAATAATTTTTATGCATTTGCAATCTCCAGGGTGCATACACAGGGGTTTGTTCAAATAAACATGTTCCTCCTTACAAAGAGAATATTGACAAGTTTAAGGCAAAGGGGATAGATTCTGTTATTTGTGTGGCTATTAATGATCCGTATACTATGAATGCGTGGGCTGAGAAGCTTCAAGCCAAAGATGCTGTAAGTTATCCTTGTCTACTAGCCTCACCATTAAAAGAAAAGGTTTCGTGTGCTTTGAAGTTATACGTTTCCTCTTTTGCATTTCCCTTGTAAAACAATTGGTATCTCTGTTGAATATTTGTTGCAAATTTCTTATGTCACAATTGAAAGATTATTCAATCTGCAAATATGTTTCTAATTGAGTGTTGTGCATTGTCATCTTGTTAATTATTCACGAATTTGAAGACAAATGCATCAGCAGTGCAGTTACTTGGTTAAATGAAGTATATGAAAGTTGTAGTAATTTGTTGGTGCGGGAAAGAATAAAGTGGTCTATGAGAAGAGGACCTCTATATCTTAGTTTTTACATCCATGTAAAGCTTGAGTTCTTCAGTAATATGTTCAGTAAATATGGAAGGTTCTATGTTGATTATCATGCATTCATCGACCCTGATGAATTAAAAAAAAATTCTATTTGGTGCGCTTTGGTTTTCCTATTTCCCTTATTTTCGGAAGAGATTGTGAGAACAAACTGTCTCTCATCCTGTTCTCACGTTCTCCTCTTACTGGTTAAATTGTTAGACATCAAATTTTGTGATTTTTTTTTTCTTATAAATTTCAACTAATGATAGAGAATTTGTGTTCCTAACTTTTCTCTTTTCTTATGTCTTATAAAATTTGTCTCCAGATTGAGTTTTATGGGGACTTTGACGGGAGCTTTCACAAGAGTTTGGACTTAGTTACTGATCTCTCGGGTGCATTGCTGGGAACTCGATCTGAAAGGTATGCTACATACCATCCTTGAACTCATATTGAACTCGTTCACCTGAACGACTGTTTGATTTTGATGTTAAGAAAACTTGCTTTTTCCGATATTTTAAAACTAGACCACGCATCAAAATGTTGAGGTTACAAATTCACTGTTTAAAAAATTTAAAATGGACATTAAGTACTGGTAAGACTTCCAAGTAATGACAATATAACAATTTAAATATATTAACAATGTCGAATCATTTTCATAATCTTAAATGTGTAATTTAAAAGAGGAATCAGACATTATGAGTACAATTTATCGGTTAGAATTTTCAAGATAATAATAATAATAATTTCTGACTCACATTGATTTGCCATCACTTAGTGTTTTTTGGCCAAATATAGGTTTTTGGGTAACCATACCAGAAGCCAGAAGCCAGACCAACTGATTGGATGGCTAGTGCTTAGAACATTGCTTTATTAGATTTCAATTCTGAAAATAGTAGTTGTTGTTTCCTTGTAGATGGTCAGCATATGTTGTAGATGGAAAGGTTAAGGCTCTTAATGTCGAAGAAGCTCCATCTGATGTAAAGGTTTCTGGTGCAGACACCATTTTGGGACAGATTTGAAGTTCCTGTTGGTTTGTATGTACGTAGTAAGTCTTCAATAAACTGTACCCAGCTGATCCAATGTTGTACTGGACAGTTTTGAATTTTTTTTTTTTTTTTCCTGTTGTCACTACTTCCTTCTGACCTGCATGCATGTTTATTCTGTTGAGCAAGTTTTTAGCATGCATAATAAATATCAGTAGTATCCTTGGTATTTTATCACTTATATATTTATTTATTTATTTTCTGATGAAGTCTCCCTTCATCTGAATTGCAACTCGAGTTCCTAACTTATTTTTAGTGAGTGCTATTTTATTTCTCTACTCACTAAAATCTTTATTTTGATTTGGAAAAACTGTATTTTTAATAGTTAATCAACTTTGGTCGTAGTTGTTTATACGATAAACTTATATAAGAACTCAAAAAACTCATTTGCTTCAATGGTATTTTGGAGTTGCGATTAGTGGAAGACTTCCATTAGAGCTATCGTGCAAGGATGAGTTTTAAGTCTTGAAAATAAGATAATTTCCTTAATACTCTTTTTTTGTATGTAAATTGCATGTATTCTTTTTTTGTAACCACATTTATCTTTTTATAATGTTCTCACTTAAGTTTTCATGCCATAGTTATTGTTAGTTTAGATAAATTACTCAAAGTACTTCTAAAAAAATATATATTAAGATAAAAACTAATTAATTTATGGTCCTTCTTTTGAAATTATAAGGCCTTTCCACTGTTAAATACACTAGCCAATTTGACATTCCAAATATGAAATATTTTTTTCATTTTGATTTACCTATTCAACCACATGATATCCTTAATTAACTATCGCTAATGCTTAGAATACGTAGAACGAGATTAAGCATAGTAGATATGGGTGTTTGATATTTGCATGCAAAGGAATATCAATATTTATTGATTCAAGAGGCAATGGATTGAGGTTTGTCTATTTAAATCACTCTACTAAACTTTGATTGGATTAAGTATTAAATATGTATATTAGGAAGTGATATAGATCACGTACCAATATTACAACCGTTAAATTAGTGACCGAATTTCTTTTGTTTCATAAAATATTTACGTGGCGGAAATACTACTAGAATGAGAAAGCAAGAGAATAATGCTGAAGAAAGATAGGACCCAAAAAGGTTAATTGAGGGACAAGAGAAGAATGATGTTGTTATGTAAACGCAAAAAACGAACGCATGTATTGTTTTGTTCCATTGGCATTTCCAACGAAACGAAAGGAATAGCAACATCGAAGCCATGACACCCACTTTGGTGAAGCGAGTCATGAAATCATTGTGTACAGCTCATGGGATCAGAACTTCTTCCTCTTTGGCAAAGCTTACTGTTGGAACAGACATACTCTCTAACGCCCCCAATGCTTCTCTTCAGAAAGCTCGAACGTGGGACGAGGGTCTCGCTTCTAACTTCTTAACCACTCCTCTCATGGACATCTTCAAGGTCCCCACCACCTTCTTTTCTACTTCTCTATGCAATTCTCATTTTCAAACCCACCCTTTTCATCTTTTCGCTCGGTTACTATTACTAATGTCCTCTCCCCACCATGCTTCTGGACAAGAAAATCGTGATATTTGGATTCCCGGTGAGTTTTTATCTTCATAAATACTTTTCTTCTTACAAGGTGTATGCGAAATTGTGAGAAGTCAATGTAGTTGTAAGTTATAACTGTTATTTCATTACCGTCATAAAAAAAACCTTACGGCTGAAAACAGGATCCTAGACCTTTTTTATAACTTTATTATAAGTGTTTCATAAATCTAACATGTGAATGTTAAACCAAACGCCCTTGTTACTTTATGTATGTTTGAGGCTTTTGGGGTGTGTTGTACTAGTGTTCATAAAATTTCGGTGCATTGTTTCCTGAATTGAATTCATGTATTTGTTTTCATTTTATTTTCCAAAATATTTGTTGTGATGCTTTGACCATCTCTCAGGGTCCATTCACAGGAGTTTGTTCAGAATAACATGTTCCGACTTACTTGGAAAATGCTGACAAGTTTAAGGCTAAGTGGCCAGAGAAGCTTCAAGACAAAAAGATACTGTAAGATACTATCTGCGTCTTACAACTTTCTCCTTCCATTCTTTTTTTAGTCATTGTTTAAGTTGGTTTATACAAATTCAGAAATATAATTAATGTTTTCATTATTATTAAATCAGTATGACTTGTATTATTTTATTTATTAACTTTTTTTTATCATTTTTATCTTTTATCTCTCTCCTTAAGGATGTAATTAATGAAATAGTGATTAATATTCTTTTATGTTGTTCATTTTTTTTTACGATCTTTCGTGAAGGGGAGTTAAACTCGCATCTTTCGTTTTTATGCTAATAATTACAATTTTTTATTTTAAATACACATTTACCTTTTTTTTATATTTTTAAATCGACGCCATTCATCTCTTTTATTTTATTGTAAAACAATAGGTTAACTAACAGCTTGAAATATTATAAATATTATAAGTAGGATTAGTCTCTCATCTAGGAGACTCCTAACATTTTATTTCTATATTTAACACTTTAATTTTTATTTTTCTTAATATTTTATTCAAGTTTTAGTCAATATGTTTTTCAAAAATTAGGAAAATAAACTTACGGATTAATGATCTTATCACGTTAAATAAGGATAAAACTAAAAATAATTTACATTTTATAGATGTGAAAACTAGTTCTAATAAGAAACATAACTGTTAATATAATGACATAACATTATATATTAAATAATATTTTTTAAAATATAATAAACTTTTTTAAGCACCTACAACCCGATCTACTTTAATTAAAAAGAACCTTTAAAAAAAATCTGTAATTAGTTTTTTAGTTAAATAGACTGAGCCAACTCAAGTCTTAGTTAGCTTTTTAATTAAACACATGTGTGACCTTTTTTTCTTATCGTGAAAACTCTGAAATCTTTCTTTTTTATGTGATAAAAGTTTTCCTTCATACCAAGGGTGATGAAATATTTATCGATCTAATAAAGTATAATAAAAAGTTTCCCTGATACGAAAGAATATGATAAAATTGTTCTCTAACTCATATAACTATTATTAAATCAAAATATTTAATAAAATTAATTGATAAATCATCTATTAAGTTTATAAACTATTATCATTTTCTATTCAAAAGCAAAATATTTTGTTAAATGGTTGTAATAAATAAGGTAAGGTTAACTGAAAATTTTGAATATTTGATTAACTAACTAAATATAAAGTAGAAAAGACAAATTGCTAGGCATTAATATATTATCCCAATTACAAGTTCAAACACCATGAAATTGATATCGGACTAAAATAACAGAGTCAGGTTCTTTTGAAAAAATATTACCTTAAGTTCGATTATTGAAATACGCAAATTATATACGGGGTTAAAAAATCTTACCAAATATAATAAACATGTCTTGTAGTCTCCCACTAACTTTTAGTGCATATTTCAACAAAAGGGAAAATATATGTTCCTTAAGTTGCTAATTTCAAAAGGATTTGTAAAAAAAATTTAATTTAGCAGAATGTGTAACATCCGTAATTTTTTGTCAGCGAGTGGCGTAAATCAAAAACCAAATTAGTAAATTTAGAGGCTCTAAATTATTTGATTGACGCGAATCAAGTATTGGCAATGTAAAAGGGGTAGCATGAAACTGTTCAGATAGATGCATTAAATAAAACAACTAGCTCTATATTGATGGCACATTCATAATTCCTACAAGTAATTGACATTTGATAACAATGCAGGACGCGTACCAACGGGTACATTGGTTATCAGAGGCGTCTCTTGCACTTCTTAGACAACTGAGATAGCATAGTAAAGTCGATGATCTAAGTCTTCATAGCTTATCATGTCCACCCTGAATGAACAAGTGAAACACATTGATAGCATTAGTCAATACTCAACTTTCAAGCAATTGTAGTATCATTCAGAATTAGACTATCACCATTTACCAAAATCCAATTTGACACACTCTCTTTTAGAACAAGAACAAGTATACCAATCGGGGTGTCAATGCAAATGTTGTTTCATCAAGATAAACTAATTTATGAATGCTACTAAAATTCAATTTTAAACCTGTGTTGTTTAAGGTTACGTACAAATTACATGACCAGTTAAATTTTGTTATAAACAAATTTTCAAAGTAGAAAATATAAGAGGTTTGAAAGATTAGGAGTAACCTGAACAAATGGAGAAATTTCCATTCGAAAAGATTGCATGTTAGTGACAAGTGGGGGAACATCTGAACTAACATCACCAACAGCACCTCCACTCTCTTTACTGGGGGAACCCCCAACGCCATTCTCTCCAACATACTTCATCCCTTCTTTCGGGAAGGCTGAAGTTCCCTCACTATGGACCGGAATGATAGGAGAACTGGACCGTTTTGAAAGATCAAGGCGTTCAATAATTCGTGCAACTCCAGCAATGCCTGCATTCATCTCACGCTGAACACCTTTACTTAGTTCTTTTACTGAGACATTATGGCCAAGTAACTTCTCTTTAAGGCCCCGTGTACCTTTTGAAATTGATTCCTTATATCTGTTGCATGATTTAAGATATATTATTGGCATTAGTGGATAATAGTTGCAGCATACAACAATGAAAGTGCTAACAGTTTACCTGGCTGAAGCAGCAGAAAATTTGGATTTGAAGGACTCTGGGAAGGAAAACATATCAGAAGTGTTCGGTCTGCTTGCACTCTCGGGTGTAGTATTTAATGCCGCAGGTTGACTATTAACAGTATATCTTACATCAGAGGTTGGCAAACTCCCCCAAGATGGTGAAGTTGTAAGTGTTGTTTGCACCTCAGATACATGTATGGAAGAGTTAACATCAAAAACATCCGATGGACCAGCATCAGCATCAGGTGATCTATTCCTTTCCTGTCTCTGAACAAAACGGGCTCTATTTGCAGCAGCAACTAGGCGCCTCATAATCTGGTCATCAGAATCAAAGTCATCTGAGAATGAATCGTCATCCTGCAACAGAATAATTTGCTATAGATCATTGAATGAAAGTATGACGCATGTATCAAGGAAACAAATATCAATAGATATTAACACGACAAAACAGTTCCCTAGAGATCAACACTTAGATATCTTACATAGGCATCATTAAGCTGTTCAGGGGGGGCTCGAATATTAGTGGTGTTTCTTGATCTCATGCGTTTTTCAGCTTCCACTGCAGCTAGAAGCTCTTGGCTGCAGAAGGAAAAACACTTGATAAAATCTGCTAACCATACCCATAAAAGGCTTGTAACAAGCACTTAAAAAGGGAGAGAAAAAGTGACAGACTATTTTACGTGGGGAAGGGGTGTTGCAAGTGAGCATATATTTACCTGGCAGAGTCTTTCAAAGCAAGGGATTGCCAACATATTGGGCACTCTTGGCTTCTTTGTGACCTAAAGAAGAAAAGAGTTGTGTAAGATGCACCCATCACAATTCAAACAATTGTTCCATATTTGCAAAAGAAAAATAATGGTACAATTTCTTCTCATACAAGACAAAACATCATGTATTCACCAAGCAATTAGACAACTTACCATTCAATAATGCAATGCAGATGATATTCATGTTTGCAACAGGTAACCTGCAGTTCAAAAAGAAACATATTAGTACTCTGTTAGAAATTTAAGATCAGCAAATTATAGTTAACAAATTGTCCTTTTGATTATCCACAGGGCTCAACTCATCCGCACACAAAGCATAAGTGAACACATCAAAATAGTTTGATATCACAGTATTGATAATATGTTGTAACACTAACAGGACTCAACAAACTTAAACCTCGAGCACACTTTGAGATCTAGAAGCTAAAACGTTAACTCTCATCCGCACCTAAAAATAGTATCAACCGGTGCAATAATAAGAAGAAACAATAGCACAGCCTTCCACGCATATGCACATGACAACACGGCAAAATTTTCCGTAAGTGCTGACGACAGAAGTAGATCCACGCATGCATCTCAAATTAAAACAAAATAAAACACTGTTAAGTTCTAAGCAACTTCAATCACAACAACAAAACCCCATACCTGAGAAAAAAAATATTAAGGTGAAAACATAAAAAAATTCCAAAAAGCACACAAATTGCTCAAATTTTTACCAAAACATTATCAAAACCCAATAGGACTGAACCAACAAGTTCATGGGAATGCGATCAGTGGTTCAATTTAGCAACTTTTTCACAAACCCAAAAGGCAGAAACAAAAAGACAGTGGCGGATCACCACATACAGTGGATGGTTCATGAATGGTGAAGTGCTCCAGGCATATACTGCAGGAGTCTTCTGAAGACTCGTCGAAAGGTTCAGAAGAAGATGGAGCTGAAATTGATGGAATGTGAGACAGAGAAGAAGAGGTGACGTTTTCCATGGTTAGCTGCACAGTGGTGTGTGATGGAGAATAGTTTAGGTGAAGAAGAAGAAGCAGAAGAAAAGAACCCTAGAAATGAAGAAGAGAGTGTGTAAAGGGTCAAAGATAAGAATTAGAGAAGGAAAAGAAGGAGGGAAGGAAGGAGAAAATGCTGGGAAAATCCGATTCAGACGCTTTGATGAAATCAACGTGTGACTTATCTCAAGGATTTTTGCTTTTAACTTTTAATTATTAATGGATTTTTGTCTTTAACTTTTTTTAACAATGATGATATTTTTATTAAATAACTTGTTTTTGGATTTTCTTTTCCTTTTTAATGTTTTCTGTTTAATATCATGTACATGGTCATTTTCCATAAGCCATGATATCATGGCTATGTACACATAAAACTTGAGAAAAAAATATTTTTGTTAATTTTAACGTAAATCTATAAACTTCAATTCCAATCAAATTTAAACATACAAATGATATCACAATTTTGTAATAATTATATTAGTTTTTTTTATAAAGTAGTAGAATTAAAAACATTTATATTTACCATCAAATAAATATTAATCATTAATAAAAATAGTAAATACGTGTAGATAATTTAAGTAATCATTAAAATATTCCTATATAAATTTGTCTAATTATAACTTTTAAATAATAAGAAATCAGAATATTATTTTTATAATTCATAACAATTACAACAACGCATTTTATTATACTAATTTACACTACGGGAATATTTATTTTTATGAGGAACAAAATACACAATTCGATTTAATTTGGTAATGACCTAAAAAGTCAAATAAAAAGAAAAAATTATTAATTATCTTATCTAACTTATATTTTAAAAATGAATTATAATTTTTAATCATATTTAATCTAGAAAACATATTAATAAATTAATTTTAGTCTAATTAAACACTAAAATAAAAATATTAACGTATTTATCTAAAAACAATTAATTAAAGATATATTTTTAAATTTAAATTATATTAATAAAATTACTTTTATTTAAGATATAATAATTTAATATATAAATTATAAGATAATATATAAAAGAAAATGAATTTAACGTCTTACTTAAAATATATATATATATATATATATATATATATATATATATATATATAAACAGACATATGTATACGTAGAGTTTGTTTTTCCACTATGTTTTATAATATTTTCTCTTCGCCACATTATTATTTTTATTATACAAAAATTAGATAAATGCAGGTTCTCCGGTATACTATAGATTCAGATTAAAAAGTTATAAGGCTTTAACATTTTTCACATTAATTAAAATTTAATATAAAAATATTTCCATTAATTTAATAGTTAAATAATAATAATAAAAGGATAGATAAATTAAATTACAATAATATTTATAAATATAATTTGTATATTAAGAATTTTTAATATAGTAAATTATATAGTAAAAATGTCTAATATAAGTACATATTTTACTTAAGTACCGTCAATTGTGCTCCAACATATACTGAGTTTTATACTGTCAAAAAGAAAAAAAGGTCTGTCCTTTTCTTTTCGTTGTTCTTTGTTCTCGGATTATTCTTTTCCTCCAACACAACGAAATTTCTTTTGAACATTGCTGAAAATGTCAACCTTCGTACACGCAACGCTATTCCATGGAATATGAATACTAATAGATGGAGTTACAAAAGAATCAACTTCTTTACTTTAAAAATTTGTCTGTCTTTACTTTCTGTTTCCACATTCAAATTTGGTGTCTTTATTATACCCGAAACCTAGTTTTCTTAAATTGTGTGGATGAATTATTGGAGTTAAAATTGTGGGCAGAATATTAATGTATTTCTAAATAAACAGTGTTAAGATGATCAAATAATTTCTCAAAAAAGTATAACCTATTGAGTTTCAGAGTAGTTCAGTTAGGTCATGTCAAAGACAAGCGTGATGATGAAGCACTATTGGATGGCGGATAATTGGGACCAGCAAGGAATGTGGTTGGTAAAGTCTTACCCGTGAGTTCAAGAAACTGCATTCTTTATATTTAATTTTCACAGTTTATATTGTCATAATTGAATGGTTACGTATCCATTTACACAGCACAATGATGCACTGACATGGGAAGCAAAAACTGGTATGCTGGCTCCAAAACGTAGTTACGTTTCTTGACTCCTCTGGTGTCCCAGTCATTGTAGGCCAAACAAATGATGGGGGAGTCAGTATTCTGTATTGTGACGAATCCATCTTCAAACAACAGTGACTGTCTCAAATGTTAAGTAAAATTTTAGTAAAGGTTCAGTGGAAAGTGTGAGATTAAATTTACGACAATATAGTCACTTCTAATAAAGGAAGCTGGGTACCTATTTGTAGAAGTGTATTCCGGTCCTCAAATACTGCTCTAAATAGAAGAATCTTACCTATTCTGGCATTTTCTCAATAATGTATTCTCTGCAGATATGTGACAAAAAGTGAGAAACTGCAGTTATGGGAAATGATGACTAATATCTATGAAGATAGTGAGCACACAAAAAGTAATAATACTCTTTTCAAATGCAACTTACTCTATATTTAAGACTAGGATTCCGAACTTGTTCAATCAAGTAAGGCTGATAGTTTGGTGTTATGTCACAAAAATCAGCACCAAATGAGCAGTATAAAAGATCCAGATGAGCATACTGATTGAATAAACATACCGAAAGTGTATTTTCTCTGCATATATTTGAGCAAGAAACTTTCAGAACGTGAAACCTATACTTTTGAGAATTGCTATGCTACATTATCCACACTGACGTCAAATTTACATATCAAAATATCCACATTACTCTACATTTTATTTTTTTGGTGAAGAGAGGTAAAAGGATCCAGATTGTCCATTGTTTTATTATTAAAAAGGAAGTGATGCCAGAACTGATTTATTTAAGATTTATTTTTCAGTGCAAATAGAATTATTGATCAATGAATCAGGTATTTATAATGCTGATGTTAATATTTTGCATCGTCATCTTCTGTAAATGGAGTGGGTACACCAAACCTTGAAGTGAGTTAATCATGGATCTGATTCCAATATGTTTTATGAGGGAATTAGTGACAAAGTTCTTTGGCGGATTTGGGAGACTTAAAAGCAAAATTCAAGAATGAAGTTTTTTATTTAATAATAAAATAATTAATGTTAAAATGTATAGTAATTTTATTTAAAATTTATTTTTTAAATTTTTTGTGATGTAAAATTATATAATAAATTGTTATAATTAATTTTATTTAATATTTTTTAATAGATAATAAAGTCAATCCATTTAATTTTTGTTCAAACATGATTGATTTTAAATAATTTTTTATTATTTTAAAATTTGAAAAACTCCTTTCTACTAAAGCAACTAATACTTAAATTATTAACATTATTCTATAAGTTATATATGGAGTTGGAAAAAAATTATTATTTTTATATAATTAAGAATGTCAATTGGTTTATCATTTTCAATCCTATAATTTACTTTAAGATATTTAGTTTTGACAATAAATCTAATCTATTAAGATCCAACAAATTATCATGTGTTTAAAGATTTTTCAAGATTTAATTTTTTTTTTCAAAAGTATATATAGTCTAGTGATTTTAATTTTTTAACATTAAATAAAAAATCAAAAATATCTTCATGTATTTTAAATTGTTCAAATTTACTTTGAAGCATGGTAATTAATTCTGAATGATTCTTGAAAAGATTTTACAATTTTATTATCAACATTTTCATCAAATTTTTTCTTTCTATGCCTAATAAGTTTTTCACACAATTTAGGCTCTATATCCATTTTAAAAGCAATTTCTTTAGAAAAAATCAATGCATTTTTAAATCCATTTTCCCTGTGTTTTTCAAAAAATGAAAGAAGGTATTTTAATTGTTAATCAATGTATATATTTTGGTTGTAAATTCTTACTAACTGAATTAACTGCAAATAAAATGTCATACCAAATATTCATGCCTAACAAAAATTTAAAATTTTATAATTCAAAAAAGAATGAGTCGAAACAATAAAACCTAGTTTTGGTTGTGAATTGTCAAAAAAATAAATGGTAAACGAATTTGTGAAAGCGTAAACGATAAACAATAAATTGAAAAAGACACTGTCAGAATATCTTAATGTACAAAAAGTTTTACATTTTTAATTTTTACCTTATATGACACAATATCGCAATGAAAAAAAAAAGAAATCACTACTAGAAAATATACTTTCAACGTCGCTGTTTAACGTCGGTTACATCTTCGCCGACGTTGAACATGCTTTTCAACGTCGGTTGGTCACCAACCGACGTCGAAAGTCGAATTTTGACTCATTCTACGTCGTTTTAGCATGCACGACGTGGAAAGTAGGCTTTCGACGTCGGTTATGCCCTCACCCGACGTTGAAAACCCTTCTAAACTCATTTCAATCGATTAAAACATGTTTCAATCGATTAAAATCTCTTAAAGGGTCAGGATGATCGATCAGAATCCAGTTATGACCGATCAGAACTATTTTAATCGATTAAATCTCGTTTCAATCGATTAAAACATATGACTGGAGATGAATCTCGTTTCATTATGACCGATCAGAATACAAATATGACCGATCAGACTCAAATGTGATCGATCAGGTTTTGATTATGAGCGATCAGAGTCTTTTCAATCGATTAAAAACACGTTTTAATCGATTAAAATGTCTTAAAGGGTCAGGATGATCGATCAGGATCCAATTATGACCGATCAGAACTATTTTAATCGATTAAATCTCGTTTCAATCGATTAAAACATATGCATGACTGGAGATAAATCGAGTTTCAACGTCGGGTATGTATAACCGACGTTGAATTCCCAAAATCAACGTCGCTTACATGATTTACCCGACGTTGAATGTCCTATCTAAGGCCCGCGCTTATTCAATTTCTTCTTCGTCCCACATATTCCCTCCTTCTGCTTCTTCTTCGCTGTGCCTCAGTCGTCACTGCTGCCCCCTCGCCGCCCCCTCGCCGCCCCTTCGCCGCCCCCTCGCTCTGCCCCCTCGCCGCTGCTACCTCCTTCGCCGCCCACTCGCCGCGCTCTCATCAGGTTAGATTAAGTTGTATGGATGATTTATAGCATGCATTTAACATAAATATGGATTATTTAGAGCATTTCCTGCGTATGAACATTAGAAAGATGATGGATGATTTTGTATATATGGTTTGATTTGATCTAGGTTCGTTTAGGTTTCGAAGTGGTATATGGAACATTAGGTTTCGTTTAGGTTTAGGTTTAGGTTTAGGTTTAGCTTTCAAAGTGGTATATGGAACATTAGAGCATGTATGGAACATTAGAGCATTGTTAGGCAATGTACACGTTTTTTTTGTATTGTTTTGTTAAACCTTTTCTAATAAACCTTGAATATCTAGGCAAGCCTTCTTGTGTAGTTAGATGGATCGAACTTGGGTCAATGCAAGTCGTATGTCAGAAGAGTATGAGAATGGAGTTGACTCCTTTTTGAAATTTGCCGAACAAAATGCTCCCAAAATGAATGGAAAAATCTACTGCCCATGCGTTAATTGTGTAAATGGCAGAGTACAAGAGATGGACACAACGCAGGAGCATCTTATTTGCAATGGGATGATGAAGAATTACACCATATGGACATGGCACGGTGAAGTGGTTGATATTCCAACAGTATCACAAACTATTGAGGATGATGTAACCTGCGAAGATCGAATAGAGGACATGCTTTGTGATGTGGGTCAAGAGAGGTTTCTTGAAGCACATGCATCTATATATGATACATTGAGGACCGATTCAGAGACACCTTTGTATCCCGGATGTACAACTTTCACACGGTTGTCATCTGTGTTAAGATTGGTCAATCTAAAAGCAAAATTTGGTTGGAGTGATACAAGTTTTAATGAATTACTCCAACTTTTGAAGGAGATGCTCCCAGACAATAACACCTTGTCGGACCGTATGTATGAAGCAAAGAAGATACTATGTCCGATGGGTTTAGAATATAGGAAGATACATGCTTGCCCTAATGATTGTGTGTTATACAGGAAAGAATTCTCATCTTTAGACCAATGTCCAACATGTGGTATATCACGTTACAAAGCGAAGGATGGTGATGATTGTAGTCGGGAGAGTGGTAAAAAACGTCCTCCTGCAAAAGTTTTATGGTATCTTCCAATTATTCCAAGATTTAGGCGGTTGTACGCTCACGAAGATGCTGAAAATTTAATTTGGCATTCAAAGAGAAAAACATGTGACGGGCAAATGCGACATCCATCCGACTCTCCCCAATGGAAGAATTTTGACCGTCTATTTCCAAGTTTTGGTAGTGATGCAAGAAACCTTAGACTTGGATTAGCAACAGATGGGATGAATCCTTTTGGAAATTTAAGTAGTAACCATAGTTCATGGCCCGTTTTATTGATGATTTACAATCTTCCACCATGGTTATGCATGAAGCGCAAATATGTCATGTTGTGTATGATGATTTCGAGTCCAAGACAGACCAGGAAATGACATAGATGTGTATTTGAGTCCTTTGATAGAAGACTTAACACTATTATGGGAGGAAGGAGTAGATGCATTTGATGGGTATCAGCGCGAAGTTCAAGTTGCATGCAATGCTATTTTGCACCATTAATGACTTCCCTGCCTATGGAAACTTGAGTGGGTATAGTGTGAAGGGGCATTATGCTTGTCCTATTTATGAAGAAGAGACCAGTTATATACAATTGAAACATGGAAAGAAGACAGTTTATAACAGGCACAGAAAATTTCTCCTGCATGACCATCCATACCGTAGACTGAAGAAAGCTTTTAATGGCATACAGGAGGATGAAATTGTCAGAGAACCACTGACTGGTTTAGAAGTTTACGATCGAGTGAAGAACATAAGCATTACATTTGAAAAGACCTAAAAAAGGTCTTCTGACAAGAACATGTGGAAGAAGAGATCAATTTTCTTTGATCTTCCATATTGGAGCCATTTAGAAGTACGACATTGTATTGATGTTATGCATGTGGAGAAGAATGTATGTGATAGTCTCATTGGCACATTGTTAAACATTCAAGGAAAGTCAAAGGATGGGATCAAAGCACGTCAAGACCTTTGTGAGATGGGAATACGTCCTGAATTACATCCAAGGCCCGAAGGCAATAGAAGAAATCTACCACCGAGCATGTCACACCTTGTCAAAGATGGAGAAACGTAGTTTATGTCATTGTCTTGCAAGTATTAAAGTGCCACAA